TTACAGACCGCCGTCATATAGCTGGAATATTGCTGAGTGTGGCGTAAAACTAAACTCACTCACTCACTCTAACTTGGTTACTAGATTGTCATTAATAACTGACAGTGTAGTAAATGTCCATTCTATAGCGGGTATGACTGGAATTTCAAGTCTATCCAAATAATGCACGCGACAGCCTGGAAGGGATTGTATGACAATGGCAATTTTTCAATGTGCTTAATTTATTTACTCTACATTGTGACTCCGTATGGTCAAATTATAAAGCAACAGAAAACATATTATAGTCTGTTTGCGGTGAAAACGTACCGATGAATTTCACTTTAAACAAAAATGTAAATCAAATAAAGTGAAATTAGATTGCGAATCCTCATAATTTTACCTTGCCATTTGAAAATTTAAATTTCAGAATTGTATTCAACTTGGGATGAAAGTTGTTTTACAAACGATCATAGTTTCAAATCGGTATTATTGGTTTGTATTTCAAGGATATGTACATAAAATGAAACACCGCGATCAAGTAGGTTTGGTCTAAGTTAACGCTTGTAGGCTCATCACGTACCGCACGTGCATTTGTTTCACTGTTCCAACTACTGCGCTTATCCCTTTGTAATACAAACCAATATAAGCGATTTGAAACTATGATCGTTTGTTAAACAACTTTTTTCATAAGTTGAATAAAAATCTAAGATTTAAATGCTCAATTGGCAAGGTAGAATTATGAGGATTCGCAATCTTAATTTCACTTTATTTGATTTACATTTTCACAAAGTGCAATTCACCGGTACGTTTTCACTGCAAACAGACTATAGAGTGAGTGTGTAAACTGTAATTCTATTCCGCTAGACTAATACCAGGGATAACCCACAGCATCGTCTTCTATTCTTCCCGCTGATACATACGTGGTTTCACTTGATTCTTGAGTCTATTTCTAGTCCTTAACACTCTAATGTGATGTCAGTGCATATGCCTTAGACCCTTCGTATCAAAGGCGATATGTTATATCATTTTATGTTTTCTGTATATATATACTCATGCCAATATCGGTTGTCACCCCTTCAATTTTTTAATTGGAGAGGGGTGTGAGGTGGGGGTGGGGGTGGGGAGGGGTGACAACCATTATTGGCATGAGTATATATATAACGAAGACGAGAAGCATAAGCCATTATTGCTTGACTAACGCCATGAAATTCGAAAAAGAAGTGTATTCTTAGGCATATTAGGCATGTGTGGATGGCCAGACAGGGGTGAGAATCTTACGTTGGCTTATTTTATTCCTGATTACCTGCAATCTCAGATCTACAGTTATTTCGAGGTTGAAAGGAACTGCGTTAACATTTCCGTTTATCCCATGGTGACAAAAGACGGTGACAAAAGACGTAATTTAAGCAGGGACCAAGCTTCCACTTCAAGACAAACGTTAGTTTGGCACATCAAAGTTCGACAAAGCAGTGTTTGCCTGTATGTAAAGGTTTATTGTTATAAACTGTGACGGTCGGCGATCGACCACACAGGACCAAAAACCGGATAGTAAACCATTGAAATAAACGTAAATACAGTAGGAAATACATGCCATGACCGGATTTACGTATGTTTTCAGATATTTCCTAACTTCGGGCATATATTTCATATGAATCTATACCTTTGAAACATATGCTCATCGAACATTTTCGTATGCACAAGAACCTCGTTCATGTATGCCATGACCGGATTGTCAGGTATTTCCAAACATGAATTGCAAAACAGATACCCCAGGAAATACATGATCTTACAGTATTTCTGATGCATTCCTTTGAATTTCAATGGGTGCTGAAATTTACGATTTCGTTCTAAGTTTACCCAGGTTGGAAACATGTAAATTTACTTAGGTGGGGAAACACATGTGGTGGGGAAACACATGAGGTGGGGAATCACATGTGCAAATGTTTACACACCTTAGATATTTATGTATCATACCGGATTTCAGGGTATGTATATGAACGGTTCATACACCTTCATGTTACCTGTGCTCAATGAGATGATCATTTGTTTCCATCATGTGAATTACTTGGTTCATGTAATTTCATTTTCACACATTTTAGTACGTTTGAAATCAACGTTCACGTGACCTCATTATTCTTATCATCAAAAGAGCCTGACTAAGAAAGTGGTATTACGCAAGCTAACATGGCTTATTAAGCTGCGCTCGCACTTGTTGCCAGTATCAGTTACGCTTTGTCGGCGGTGTTGGCAAATTTTGTGAGTGGTGAACAAAAGGGCGATGAGCTGCCCCTTCGTCCTTGCAAGTGTCCCTAGCTGTCCCAACAGAATAGCACTTTATCTCTCTTGTAGTCTGTCTCACAGTCCCTGAACCACATTATTTTCCCTGCTGCCAAGCCCTCTCTGCAGTGCTAAAGCCCTAAATATAGCAAGTCTAGATTTCCACAGGTTCTGAATCTCTAGTCTCCCTGGGGCGCCTTTCCATTTAAATGGGCTTGTTTGTTACTATCAAAATTATATATATTCAGAGACTAAGCATTAGTCTATCTCTCTTTCAGCACGGCCAAATACGCTACACGAACCAACTCGTAATTTCTTAAGTCTCTTCAGTTCGCGCATCAGTACTGTAAAATAAGTTTTGGCAGTACATAATTGGAATATTATTGCACTGCATGTGACCTTTCTTAATAGTCTCACAGTGCCTGAACCATGTTATTTCTCCTTCCGCTCAGCCTTTGCTGTAATAACGCCACACAAAAATAGTTTTTATCGTGTAGCGATTATGTCCGGATGGCACAGGCGGGTGCGTTCTCTGAGTATACCATTGGCATGTTGGGCCTCTGTGCCTTTTGTAAAATTTGTCTTGATTGTCCTGTTTAAATTGACGATCCATAAACCCAGAGTCCGAAAGCAAATGTCACACAAATAAATGTGATGTTGCATTGCTGCAATTTTCCATGTCGGAGAATTCCTTCTAACAAGATATATATTCCGTTGTTTGGAGCAAGCCTATGACTATTACGCCCCAGTTTTGCTTAAGATCTTGCAGACCTTTAACCTGACATAGACGCAGACCTCGCATGTTCAAGTTCAGATCTGACAGGTGCCGAAAATATTGAATTCGGCAAGAATGCAATATCTCAGTGGGTTATTGTTTTCCTAAGTACGTGGAGTGCTTTCTACAACATTGGAGATAATGGTATCGTTGTCTTCCTGATATTCCCCCGAACGGAAGCTCTACCCATTTAGGGTACAATGTGTAAGTTACAGATTTGTAGGGAATAGTCTTAAGACTTTTCTACTTTGACCAGGATTCTTCGAACTTGCAACAGTCGTTTGAGAAGATCAAGAGAGAAAGGGGTAGTGTGCAATGTATCTGGCGGACGTATATGGAAAACGTTCGAAGAATGTTTCTGTATAAATACAATAATAGAAATATCGGTTATGTTTGAAACGTACCCTCAATCTGATAGCCAGTGAGATTATTGTGAAAGATCGCAATATGTATCATCATAAACGGGCCAAGATAAAAGTACATGTCATTCATTCCCACATTATATCCCCTTTATAGACTAGGGACATGGTTGTTACAGGTAGGGCAAACACTTTCTTCTATAGGTATCTGCCTGTTTCACGCTACATGCATGTATTCAGATTACTGAGAAAGTAGTAGCGACGCAGGTTCTCCTCCATCACACATATAATTGTATAGATATCCAGTGATTAGGGATAGCGCTGCAGCAACTTATTGACATTTACGACATACACTATCATCTGCAGTAGTACTGCTATACCCAGCATCGTATTTATTTCTCTCTTACATAAGGTGAAATGTCACAGGGTTGTCATGGTAACGATAATTTGGCATACTATTTATTGTCTTATTCTTTTATCTGCGATTAGAATTTAAATCAGTTTTGGCGTGAGCATCTTTAGAGAAAAGAAGCTGTAAAACGAATATTAATGTGATCGAACCTATAGGCCTTTGTCAAAGCGCGTTTCAAACCACCTACATAAAAAACCTTCATGATAAATATCTGCTAATCCATGGCACGATTCCAACCATATCATGAGCATGTGTTTGTGAATCATAATCAAATAGTGATGTTACGGGGCGTCCATGCCGCGTCAAAAATACATGGAAACGCACGAGAATTGCAATACGGGCCCCTAAACCACTGATGCTCCGTGACCTGGAGACACAATTCATGTGATTGAGCGTATGTAGACAAAAGACAAAATGGATACTCGTGCTGTTATGCTTTTGAATTATTAAGTATTCGTTCTTGTCACGGGATACAAGTATACTTTCCAGTTTCAACCAAATGTACATTCGAAGGATATCGAAATCTAGGTTAAGCTATTGGAATCATATTTACAATTAAAAGACCCAAACAATGGTCTGTTGTCGAAATATTTTGTTTTCCATATCTTGTCCCAATCTGTATCCAGAGACCATACAATAGTCTATTATATAGTCTCTGTTTTATCATAGTCAGAGAACGATATTATTTTCCCTTCCGCCCAGCCCTTACTGTAACGCTTACACCCTAAATGAAGCATGTCTAGATATTCCCAGGTTCACCGTCTGTTAAAACGGGTTCGGGTTACAGAGTAAACAATACCAAACACCGGCGGCTGGCGGGGACCAACATCTTCACTAACATTTACATCTGCCAACGCCTAATTCGCAAGTGGTGAGGCAATAAGCTAATGAGGCTAAGGGTCCTACCATGCTTGTGAAATATCTATGATGCCTTATATGAAGTCTATAATCTAAGCAAGTCTAGCTTTGTATGGCTTTAAGTCACTGCTTGAAGAAAAGCTCCTTTAGAATTTGATTTGTTAAATATTAGTATTTCACTGACTCAATCACATTCGAAAACGCATAGCAGCCTATAATTCATTGTGACTATGATTAAGCCATCACTGTAAAACACAAGGGTTATTTCCTTTGAGTTAACTGACAGGCTTTCGGTATCAAATATTTAGAACTCCAGCCAAAGGTGGAAATATGGCGTTTTTGTAATGCTTTTGTTGCACTTAATGATAAGTGATTGTTAAATGTACATATGACGTTTTTGAAGGATAATCTCAGCTGACTCAGAGACTTTGCACGTGTTTTCCCCCACTCTTTCCACACCCATCCTTCAGTTTTTATGTTTGTGACATGATCTGCACACTGATAATTTAAAGCAGGTATATAAATAATAACGGTTTGCAATCTTTACCCAATGCAGTTTTCCATTTATTTAGCAATTTTCAGTTTCTATTAATTTCTGGAAATTTTGTACGGAGGTACATTTAATTAACAGTTTCACCCAATAACAGTAAAACATACTTAAAAAACGTTTCGGTACTTTGATAGATTGATAAGTTCACATTATATTCCATGATATTGGGATGCCAAAATGATTAACATTATTATATAATGTATAACAAATCAGACAGCAAAAAACAAAAATTAAAAACGCATAAGCAACATAAATGATGTCAGGTAGTAAGCTTTCAATAATTACAGAAACTGCTTAGTCATCTAACTTTATGAACTAATTGCAATCACTACAGTTTTCTATGATCTACCCAAGAGATGGATTCAAAATAGGTGTACAGTATATTCCGTCGGGTAACTGAAATTTGAGAAAACGTCCGTATGGGACAACATCTGTATTCCGAATCAAAGGAGGCCATCTGACGTAGTGGTGTAACGATTCATCGATAGTATCGATGTTTGCATAGTCAACTATGCGATACGAATGCATCAATACAAAACACTTTTAGGCAATAGATCAGGATATTAATATCGCATGGGCTGTGATACATCGATGTATCGCCACAAGAGACGAAATATCCCGATACTACTTAAGTACTACTGAAAGTTGTAAGGAGTATTGCATTAGGAAAAGGAAGGAGTCTCTTTGAAATTCTTCTGAAGTGAACCTTGTACTGTGAGACGAACTTAAGAATAATGCCGACCTGTCATTTGAACCCGTGCATCTGAATAGCGGTGCAGTCCATTTCACTGGAAAAAATCCACATTTACAAGCTTGGAAATGTCTTGGAAGATGATGTTTCCAAGACATTTCCAATTTTGAAAGATGATGTTTCAAGACATTTCCAATTTTGGAAAGATGATGTTTCCAAAAATTTCCAATTTTGGAAATGTGAGATTTCCAATTTTGGAAATATCCGCAAGGGGAGATAACTGGTGGGTGATTGTAAATTATTGTTCTGCATGGGCTAATTGCTATAGTGGCATGGGGGCGGCATGAGTGTTTCATGGGGGGCGTTATGGCGACTGGCGGTAGTCTTTGATGTTTGGTGTTGTTTTAGTAATGATTGTTTAAGGGATTAACGTAAGGATTACCGACTTGACTAGTCGAAATTGCAGTGGTGAACACATTTTAAATGTTCAATGTTTTGGGTGAAAAGTGAATTTTGTCACGTTTAGTTTAAGTATGTGTCATCGTAAGCATATATCTAGTGAGTGAGAGTTAATTTCGTACAAGGGCCACCGACCCATTATACAATTATAAAGATGACAATACAATCCAGCGCCATATATAATATTAAGCTGTATGCTAACATGTACAATGTCTCATTTAATCTTATACTCTATATTCAAAAACTTCGCTCTTTTTGTCAATGCAAGAAATATAAACTTAGCAAGGTTGTTAACAGTTGTAGAATTGCAAGACAATAATAAGTTGATAAATTTAGTTTCACATGGATTATTTATGTAGTATTGTGGGAGCAGGCTGTTTCTCAGATCACAGTAAAATGAACATTCAATAAAGAATTGGTACTCTGATTCAATGGTAAGTACAATACACAGAGGGCAGAATCGCTCATGTTGTTTTATATTCACCTTCCGCCCATATTCCAACATTAAAGGATGGTCTGAACAACGAAACTTACTCAAAGCAAAACGAATCGTTGCGTTGCCGTCAATCGTTGCGTTGCCCTCTTAGGGGGTCGAGTGATGGTGTCACCATGCACTAATTTCCACCGGACCCCGTAGTTCGTGCTAAATGGGTTATGTTTGTGAGTGCGAAGCGAGCGTTGTGGAAGCTTGGAACGATATCTTAAATGTGTTCAGATCGCTTCGCGGAAGTTAAAGAATCAAAACTACTTACTAGTTGTAGTACAATAAATGTATGATTGATGACCAAAAAGATTTTCTATGACACAACTTGAGAGCATAACGATTTCTTTCTCGGAAGCGAGGTTGTGGTGGAAGTGACAATAATATTGTAAGTAGTGTTATATTGACACCCACCTCGCTTCCACGAGAGAAATTGTTATGTTATAAGATATGCCATGCAAAATCCTATTGGCCATCAATCAAATACATATTTTACTACCAGTAGAAAGTAGTTTTGATTTTGTAACTCGGTGAAAACAAACCTAAATAGCATTTATTCTCAGGCTGGCGGATGTTCGCGACAGGGGTTACATACCTGGAAGTAGACATTTGTGATGTTTAAAACAACAAACCAGTGGAGCATGTAAGGATTTTCAAGTCCACTGCCTCCAGAGAACAATGGAGGTTCTATGTTATTTCAACCACATGGGTCATACAAAAATGTTAACTGGTAAATAGATGGAATACATCCACAAACCATTCCCAAGGTAAAAACAAAATACATAGCATAGTTTCGTTCTTACTTTTATTTCATAAGTCATATGTATACAATAAAGTTCAATAAATATACACAAATATCACAAAAATTATATTGTCAACACTGTCATGTACAAGTATCAGGTATCACTATTTTATTTTATTAGTTCATTTACATTAATATTACATACATAAATTAAATAATAATATACACAAAGCATGATTAACATTGCATTCAGTACTTAGCACTAGGTCTACTGCATCACACTTCAAAGTCACACACTAAATGTCAGTTCACTGTAACTTCATTAGATGCGACACGGCATCAGCGTAAACCATGACACTCATGGCACCATCTCGGAGTTCTTGCTTCAGAGTCTCTAGTCTTGAGTTGAGCGAGGGTCGTCAGGCATGTCTGCAAGTGCGTTCAGCAACACGTCGTCTACCTGGAAGCACAAGATTATTTTATGAATACATAATTTGTGATTATTGATCATCAGCCGCGAAGTACACAAAATGAATGACATAGTTTAAGCATAGTAATATATGATTTATAATAATAAAATCCGATTCCAATTCAGGCGCAATGCAATGCAATACTTACATCTGTCACGGGCACCAAAGGCAATACAGCAGCACGCCTTACGAAGCGGGTGATGTCTTCGTCGTGGTTGTAGTCGCCCTGAAGGCCAACCCCTTGTGTCTTCTTCCACACACACTGTGTGTAGTGGAATAGACACCCCCTCCACAGCGTCGTCGGGAAGTTGACGGAGACGGCATTCTTCGCTGCAGATTCGAAGTCCATCTGGAATGATTAAAATGTGGAAATAATGAATACGTTTACCATGTTTTACAAATAATGATAAGTTAATTGAATAAATTATTATATAATTAATAATAATGAATAACTACATGAATACTGACTATCATTTATTAAGAGTTATGTAAATCAATTTACCTGGATGTGTTGAGGTGACATCTGAAGTCCTCTTGCTTCCACTGCTTCCTTCAGGAGACGGAAGGCGCGGTCGTAAGTAACAGTCGCCTTGTCTGGCAGCAAGAAGAAGACCAGCGGAAACATCTGACCACCAACCATAGCATGGAGAGTGTACAGCTGCAGGAAGAGTGATGGTGAGACATAAAAGGTTCCGTCACCATACACAACTTCGGCAGCACAAAGATGTTCCATGTTCACCGTTGTCGTCATGCCAAGGATCTTATCGTCGTCGCCATCGTTGATGATGACAAAGGGCTCGCCAGCGTTGGTTGTTTTGAACTCGTCTGGGATCACGATTTCTCGTCGGGAAGATAGGATGGGTGGGAAGGTGGATCTTCGGGCCTGGTACAGTCTGTTCTTGACGGTGTCGTACGTCGGCATTTCTGCGATGAACGACCTGTTCTCTTCCGTCCAAGGACCATCGCTCACTGAGGCCAGAACCTCGTTGTACAGCGTCGGTATCGGACCCAGAGATGACTTGGCCACCATCTTCATCCTGTCCAGTGTCTCTCTGACCTGTAAATAAGATATAACCAAAATTAATGTAATGTTATGGCTGCATAAATCTAATGAAGTGCTTTTCGAGCACATTTGTCTAAAATTGTGCAAATAATGAACAAATGTAGCAGAGCTTTATACCATTTTAATATTATAATTTATAGATACATTTACGCACAACATACCTTTATCTCATTATGGACAGGTCCATGGTTATGTGGGCTGGGATGCTTGGTGATGATGTCGTTCACAGTAGAGACAGTCGCAGCACATGTCTTCTCCTGGCATCTCCAAGATGCCAATGAAGCATCGTTGCGTCTTCGATTCAATCGAAACACAAAGCCTTCAACAACTAGATAACGTCCACCACGTGAAGTCGGGAGAAACTTATAGTCTAACTGCTGGTTTGCCATTTTTGACAGTGATAGATTCTTGGTGGAATTACCATGATATATACCCAGTGTGAGTTTATATCAATCAATCTAAATTTTCTTAAATAATATAGTTAATTTGTGAGTTGATATCAATCAAATAATCATAATTGTGTTATTTGTCATTTAACTAGTGAGTTCATATCAGCAACTATGTTCATAGTTAGAACTAGTGAGTTCATATCACTAATTAGTGAACTCCGAGTTCACTCACCAGTTCAAGTTTTAGTGTCACCCATCTCATTAATCCTTTAAAACAACATGTATCTACCTCGGCCGAACATCAAAGGATTTTTACTGTAATAACAAAAGTCTACTTCCAGGTACGACACCGCGACAGGGCGCTGCCATTTTTAATAATCACGGGCTAAAGTCTGTTAAAGAATTAATGAGATTATGGTTTGTTTTCATCAAGTTAGAAAATCAAAACTACTTTCTACTCGTAGTTAAATATGTATTTGAATCATGGCCAACAGGATTTGGCATGACACAACTTGTAACATAACGATTTCTTCCTCGGAAGCGAGGTGGGGGTCGAAGTGATAATACTGCGCAATAAATGTCTTGCTACATTCACGTGGTTAACGTCCACTCACCAGTATGTAGATACTAGTCAACGTCCGTCTTTATATTTGGTCTTATAATCCTAATTAGTTTATTATCATACTTGTATGCATTTTGAAACTAAATAAAAATCAGGCGATCTGCCTATACTTATAACTTGAATATCTAGACATTTTATAGTTAGCCAATGTAAATCATAATTCGCACACACACCCTAGTGTATGTTGTCGGTCTCATTACTTCACGACGAAAACAATGATTCTGTTGAATGCCACCACAAATGAATAAAAACAAAATGCAATTATTAAAATTAAAACAGATAAGAGTTATAAGAACAATGTCAGGCTATTACTTTGTTCGAGGAATGTATCCATCAATATCCACAAAAACGAGTGATATGCCATTCACCTGCAGCTGTTCCAAATGATACATCTAATACATGTTTACGAAAAGTGATATATCATTGGTCACCCAAGATAGCATACCTGGGAACTAATCGCATAATGTCCACCATTCTTTACAAAAAAGTAATTTAGTTAGCCAATAATGAGCAATCAATCAATGTCTTGGCGGTTAATCCTTTGAAAGAAGGAAGTTGTATTACGCAGACACCGACACGACAGAGTGTATTCAGTATAGATTAGTAAATCTACATACATGAACACTACCTTTTGACAAATCTTCTGTGTAAGATAAAAGTATTTAATCAATCAGCGTGTTATCGGTTAATCCTTTGATCGATGTTTATAATGTTGAGTATTTACCCCAGACACAAGAAATGAAAATGGGAACCTTTGTCGGTTTATCCAAGTGGTGTTACCACTAATTACACCTGTTTTAAATACCACCTAACACGGGTTACAACGAGGGAGTATTAATTGCTGTATTGCATGCAATTTTAATTGCTTGTGAAAACCTATGGGCAGACACTATTTTGAGAATACGGACAGAACTTCATTGTTGCATAAGAAATACACATAAGCATTTGCTGTGTGCTAAAACTGTATGTACCTATTCACCAAAGTAAATTTTCAGAGTCTTCTAGCAATGGCAAAGTGGGGTTGTTTAGTTTACGGATTCAAATAGATCAAATGTCATTTTTTAATATTATACGTCATATTTTTAAATGACGTGAATAAATATCGAGGTAAAAAACCCACAGAAATGGGATCAATTATGATCAGTCATTATACCATCGAGGCATTAGAAAACCTGCAAAAGCCCACACTGCTTTGATACTTTAATACAATCAGACAAGAACTACCGGGGAAATTAACGGCATCTGATGGGCATCCACCCTTCCTAATGTCGCACTGTTTAGGTTGAAGTAATTAACCGTAACCGAGATGAGCAGAGGCTGATCATAGATTTCACTACCACTAGCGGCTGGCTCGAACAAATAAATAAAGCCCAGCGACACCAGGCAATTACGACAGAATCGTCTATGAAAACAAGTTGTAACTCGGAAGGGGAGCAGGACAAAGGCCACCCGGACAAATGCCACCCAGTTATTTTACCATTACAGAGAGGACAATTACCACCCATATTGATTTTAATGTTGATTTTGTTGTAAAAATTATGTAGACTTTGATGAATAATTTGGGTTCTTAAAAATATGTTCACTTTGATAAAAAGTTGATTTTCATGTAAAATTTTGATTTCATAGTAGTGTTGACTTTTTAAAATGTTATTGTGTTGGTGGTTTTTATTTTTATTTGGGTGGCATTTGTCCAAGGTGGCATTTGTCCGGGTGGCTTTTGTCCGGGTGGCATTTGTGCTAGGCCCACTCGGAGGCTAGGCAAAGCAGGTGACAAAATTAAATGACAGCAGATTGTGAGAACATATAGCTTTCATTTTTCACAACAATTGTCACGATTTCTGTTCCTGCTGAGCTGTAGGCTCGTTCGATATCTCGCGATGTCATTATCGCGATAATGCACCGAGGAGATCATCAAAGGAGTGGATTGCTTAAAGGTCACATGCAACCAAAAAATCAAACATAATTAAAACACAGTTATCACTTATTTATGGCATATAATATACATTGCTGATTATGAAAAAACATATAAACAAAATTAAAAGGGTACAATCGCAAATCAAAAGTGCAATATTTTGTACTTGGGTTTACTTCCCTAGAAACGAAGCAGCCGGGATACCGAACCCAGTCAGAGCGGGTGGGTGTTCACTCAAGTGTAACGGCTGGTTCATTGGTCGATGCCCCCACGGCTCATTGTGTGTGTGTATATATAGAGTTGTTAGGTTTTGTAAATTCGGTGTCGTACCGGGAAGGTTCACACCCATAACCCCTACATGCCACTACCCCTACACTCCAGTACCCCTACAGCTAGTTAAAACAACACCTAGCATTTACCTGTCTGATATAATAGACTAATCCTAAAGAGGGATTAGTGCATGGAGCATAGATGAGATCAAGGGATGCATAAATGTGATTAGTCTTTTGTGGCAAGGAAATTAGTGGTCTCATGATGAAAACAAACCTCAACCCTGAGTAGAAGAAACATACAATTGGAAAAGTGTTGTGATTGCCATGGATGACACTCCTGACGTCCCAAGAGCTGGCGACTTCAACGACTACATCGTGACAACATGGGTCGACGACACTGCCAGATTTTTTCTTCACCTGTGGAACCACAACTTGACAGCTGGGCCGAGGACAAACAACAACCTGGAAGGATTCCACAACCGTCTGAATCGAGAAATTCCACACAGGCACCCGAACATCTACAGATTTGTAGAAGTCATCAGGAGAGTCGAACACGCCGAGAGAGTGAGGATTGCTCAGATTGACTTTGGTGCTGCGCCAACAAACAGAAAACGAGTGTACAGAGAGAGATCGACAACCGTCTGTGCAGACTCAAGGAACAGCTTCAGCGTGGACAGAAATCCCCTCTTCAGTTTCTTGACGCCGTCGGCTACCTGCTCAAGCTTGGATAGACTGTAACACTGACACTTGAACACTTGTGATAATGTAATAATGTGATCTTTCTCTCATCCTGATATGTTGATATGAAACACTTGTGATAATGTGATCTTTTGTTCATCCTTATATGATGATATGAAAACACTGAATGTAAATAGACTGAAAAACTTGACAATTGATCTCAATGATGTGGTACTTTGTGATAACACATGTATTAAAGTCACTTTTAAAATCTGTCTTGTGTCATGTTGTGCATCTTAAGTGGACCAGTCCACTGTATGGAATAGGTAACAGGCAGGAGATTAGTTATGCAACAGACCATAAACTATGTTGTTATAAGCTGTAGGGGTAGTGGCATGTAGGGGTAATGGGAGGGTACCACCGGGAAGGCTAAAATGTATTTTTCAGATGTCCCGGGAAGGCTAAAATGTATATTTCGGATTTCCCGGGAGAGCTAATTAGGGGGAGTACCGCCAAAGCTAAAGATACGGTGCCGGGAAGCATAATCCATGCCGGGAGTAGATACATTTCTTTTCAAAACATTGTTATAATAGAGTATTTATCAGAACAGAATAGAATATAGAATTTATTAAGACTTGAACCAGTCTTCTATTCGATTAAGATTTAAAGATAAACAATGGACACATATTATTTCTTCCCTAGGTACATTATGGTATCTTCCAACTTCAATATGTAGCAGGCATCTTTATCTTCTTCGCTTGTTTAGACCTGTATTTAAGTGGCGTTTTTATTTCAGA